TTTTCCATACTCTTATCCTGTTATAAAAGGAGAGTGGGGTGGGGTGAGGAGAGACCTGGGAGTTGACACATTCCTTGGTCTTCACTGCCTCTAAGATGATCTTTGTTCCTTTATTGAACAGATTCTTCTGACATGAAGTTATTCCCATCTGCTTTTTATTTTTTATTTTTTATTTTTTTAAAAAATTTTTTTTAATGTTTTTATTTATTTCTAGGAGAGAGAGAGAGAGACAGAGCGAGCAGGGAGGGTCAGAGAGAGAGGGAGTCACAGACTCTGAAACAGGCTCCAGGCTCTGGGCTGGCAGTCAGCACAGAGCCCGACACGGGGCTCGAACCCACGAACTGCGAGATCATGACCTAAGCGAAAGTCGGACGCTTAACCGACTAAGCCACCCAGGCGCCCCTCCATCTGCTTTTTAAAAAGTGTGTGGGGGCGCACCTGGGTGGCTCAGTCGTTAAGTGTCTGACTTTGGCTCAGGTTATGATCTTGCAGTTCCTGGGTTTGAGCCTCGCACTGGGCTCCGTGCTGACAGCGTGGAGCCTGGAGCCTGCTTTGGATTCTGTATCTCCCTCTCTCTCTGCCCCCACCCCCTTGTGCACAGGAGCGTGCTCTCACACACTCTCTCTCTCTCAAAAATAAAAAAATAAAAATAAGTTTTCTCTAAAACTTCAGAAAAGTTTTTGCAAAACTTTCTATTCTTGAGCTCAATCATCTTTTGCTGACTTGAACACATTTATACAATTCTTCTAAAATCATGCATTCCCAGCTTCTTGACTTCTTAATTTTTTTTTAATGTTTGTTTATTTTTGAGAGAAAAGGGGAGAGGGGCAGGGCAGGGGGGCAGAGGATTCAGAGCAGGTTCTGTGCTAACAGCAGAGAGCCGAATGCAGGGCTTGAACCCAAGAACCATGAGATCATGACCTGACCTGAAGTCATACACTTAACCGACTGAGCCACCCAGGCTCCCATTACCTTCTTAATTTCATTGTCTTTAATTTTACTTTTTTCTGTAGGCAGCTTTAAGAATGTTAACTCTATGAAAAGCTGGGGCTTTGACTGCCTTTTTCACCATTGTTCCCTAACTGTCTGTAATAGTGCTTACTAAGTATTAAAGAATTCATGCACATTTGCCATTTGAGGTTTCCTTTATTAGCTAGGACTTTAGACTTAGAAATCACAAATTCTAAAGTTCCTCTGTGGACCCCAGTCTTCAATCCTTTTACTTCCTGTGGACCGTTATTTTCATTTCATCTGATTTCCATGGTACTTTAACTCCAAATACTTTTTGTCAGCCCCCTCCTGCTTATGACCCAGCCTCAGTTTTGTGTCCCACCATTTTAGCTGACCCTTCTTGAACAACGCAGCACTCTGACCCCAGTGTTGTTGAAAATCCATAACATAACTTTCGGTTCCACAAAACTAAATAGCGTACTGTTGACCTGAAGCCTTACCGGAAACACAAACAGTTAACACATATTTTGTATGTTATATATATTATGTACTATATTCTTAAAATAGAGTAAGCTAGAAAAAAGAAAATCATAAAGTAGAGGCCCCTGGGTGGCCCAGTAGGTTAAGTGTCCTATTCTTGATTTCGGCTTGTGTCATGATCTCACGGTTTGAGAGATCGAGCCCCTCTTGCACTGACAGTGAGGAGCCTGCTTGGGATTTCTCTCCTTCTCTTTCCCTTCCACAAAAAAAAAAAAAAAAAAAAAATTTAAATAAAAAAAATCATAAGATAACATACACTTGTAAAAAACCCACTTATAAGCGGACTCATGTTGCTCAAACCGTGCTCTTCAAAGGTCAGCTGTGTTTGCATTGGCATTCTAGTACACTTTACCCTTTGGCTTATCTTGTCAGTCTACAACTCTCTGATTTTATCAGTCCAAGTCTTCAGAGGTGTTAAGGAAAGATGTAGAACTATTCTGATTGGAAACACTACAAATTACACTTTCTGATCTTAGCTGTGTGGTTAGGGCTGATTGACAGTTTTATTTTCCATCACTGATTGATTCTCTATCATCTTCTACACAGAGACTTCCAGCCTTTTTTTGCTCTTTGTAAATGTTCAAACCCATACCTGTCTACTTTTGTTTAAGCAAGTGGCATTGTCTTCTATTTCAGTGAAGAGAGAGAGGCCATTTTGCAGGAACTCCGTCAACTTTTTCTCTCTTCTATTTTGAACTTATTCTGTATGTGAATACATATCTTTCTGATTCTTTCTTGCCTGAAAAATGTGTGTCCACTTTCCATTTTGATTGGAGGGTTTTTTTTACTATCTTTGCTCTTGGACACAGTCAATCTTGTTTGCCAGTTAGCTTTCACTTTCTCCTGCTCTGTCCAGCCATTTCCTGCCCACTTTTGGCAGGTAATTTTTACTTCCTATTTTCCAGAAATAATGAGCCTGTCAGAAATGAACACCCTCAACATTTCCCTTTTCCCACCATATCCCACCTACAAACAGTGTGCATCTATACCATCCTATATTATAAAGGCCAGTCTCTTTATCTCTGCTTTAGAATTCATCCTTTTTTCAAAACCAGTATTATCCAGTAGAACTTTCTGTAATGATGGAATTGTTCTGTGTTTGTTTTGTCCAGTACCGTAATCACCAGCCACATGTGACTGTTGAGCATTTGAAATGTAGCTAGTGTGACTGAGGAATTAAATTTATTTAATTTCAGATTTAGATAGCCACATGTTTTAGTGTCTACCATGTTGAATAGTGCATCTCTAAACCTTACTATAAAATATGTTTCTGTTACTTCTTGTTTCTTAAATCTCTTTGACCATGTGTGTCTTCTTTACATTTAAATAGGTTTAGTCTTTCGTATCTTAAATACCTAGAACACATGAAAACCTTTTGCCATTTTTTTAAGCCATCTCTTCTCTTGTCTGCTTTCTGTCCCAGTTCTACTGGATAATTCTTGGTTCCTATGACTTCAGCTCTTATCCTGTCATAGGATAAGACAAATCCTCTTCTGAAAAAGGCTCACTGTTAGTGAGGTCTCCAACTATTTCTCAGTCATGCATTCAGTAGATATTTTATCTTCTCAAAATTAATTGTTGGTTGCTTTCTGCTTCTTGAAATTCTTGTGTTATCACTTCCTTTTGGTTCTGTTTTCCATCAGACTGGTCCTTTCTGGTCCCCCCTCTTTTATTTCCCCCACCCCGATCCTTCTAAATGTTGATATTCTTCTGCCCTTAGACTTTGTCTCACTTCTCCAATCCCTTTTCCTTGTTCTCTTTTACTACAACTTCACTCCTCTTGCTTACCAGGTGCTGTCACTTATCACCTACATGTTGCTGTGTTTTAAATCTCTCTAGCCTATTCTAATTTCCAAACTCCAGTGTAACTTTCATGAAGCTACAATCCAGGTCAAGAAAAAGAACATTATCAGCACCTCAGAGTCCCTTTCCAATTCACTACCTCTTCTTTTCTCTCTAAAGGTAACTGCTGTCTCCACTTACAACTATATATAACTATTTTTGAACTTTATATAAATAAAATGATACAGTATGTATTTCTGTGTCTGTTCGTTCATTCAGCATTGTTTGTAATAGTCACCTATGTTGTTGACCGTAATTTATTTATTTTCATTACTCTTTAATACTCTATGGATATAGCACAGTTAATCTGTGTACCCATTGCTGGTTATTCGGGTAGTTTTTGTTGGAGTAAATTTTGTTATGAATAATGTTGTTCTTATCACTTTTGTGTATGTTTTATTATACATATTTGTGTATACTTCATTTGGTGGATCTATTGCTAGGAATGGAAGTGCTGGGTCATATGATATGCCTTTGTTTAAGGTTTAACGTCAAATCGTTTTCAGAGTAGTTTTGTCAGTTTATATTCCTATCCGCAGTGATAAGAGTTCTAGTTTCTTATCAGCTCTTAACTATTGCCAGTCTTCAGAATTTTAGCCATTCATGAAGCTCTGCTCCCTTGACAGTTAACGAGGTTGAGCTTCTTATGTTTCTTGGCCATTTATATATTACTCATATACTTGCTGTTGTGAAGTGCCTGGTGAAGACTTTTGCCTAGTTTTCTATTGAATTGCCTGTCTTTTACATACTGACATGTAAGAGTTCTTTATATATTCTGGATATGAGCCATTTGTTAGTTAAATATGTTGTTAATATCTTCCATTCTGTGACTTGTCTTTTTACTTAGTGTTTACTTCCAATTTTTTCTCCTCGGTGAAGTCTTTCCTGACTTTAGTCCCTGGTTCTTTTCATATTCTTTTTTAAAGAAAGGATGTGGTAGTCCTTACCACAGCCACAATTACCAAGATAACTTCCAGCTCTTCATCTCTCATTTCATCTCTTGGCTGAGCAATACTGTTAATTTGCTTATGTTAGACATTATTGATGTACCCTCCAACTCTCTCACTAATCCACTTTCTTTTCAGGCTTTTTCCTCTAACAGCCACTTAAATTTTGGGATTCTGACCTAAGTCTCTTCTTTCTACCTGGGGGAACTCCCCACCTTTGAGAATCTTAATGCCATTTTGTAGGTATATGATTTCTAGATTATTTCCAGACTAACCTTTCTCTTGGCCTCTGGATTCCTGTATCATAAAGTCCATGGGCGTTGCCACATGGATGCTCCACAGGCATTTTAAGCTCAGTGAGTCAGTCCCAAACTAAGTGCATTCCTCTCCTCCCAAGCTTGATTCTATATTTTCTTTGAACATCCTCCTCAGGGGCCTTCCCTGTCAAATACCTCCAGGAGAACTTGAGTCTGGGAAGCCTTTCCTTGTTACCCATTTCCCCTACTTGATTCCCCTCCTCCGTTGTTTCCCATTGTAACACTTCTGTCATAGCACATTTGATTTGTTTTCACCAATAGACTAAAAGCATCTTGGGGTCTTTATGTCTCTGTCCCATTTAAGTGGTTTAGATTTGATGGAGATTGCCTCCAGCTAAGCACATCTAAAATCGGACTCAGCATCTTTGGTTTTCTTCTGATTTTCTTCTTTAAAATGACTTACCTTTCACACCATCTTTTCATTAAGTCAGTCTTATTAAACTCATTTCTTTTTCTGTCAGCTTCCACAACTAGTTTATTTCTAAATCCATAGCTGTTTTTTCTGTTCCATTTTTTTAAAGCTTTGGCTCAGGTTCTTCTGTCATCTTCACCAGACTATTGTGGTCATTGTTTAAATGTTCTACCTATCTTTAGGTTTCTCCCCATTTGTCTTGATACTGCTACTGGATGTTTTGTCTCAAATACAGGTGATTATCTCTTGGTTCAGTAGCCTTCTATTCAGTTCTCTTCCTGCAAGGTAAAATCCATCTTTATAAGACATTCAGTGACAGCCTTCACAAACTGAAGTGATCTACCCTCCCCTATTACTACCACTTATGAGAGAAACCATATCCTTTAAGCACTGGCTTTAGCAGACTGCACACCTCAATTTATCTTATTTGTACTACTACCTGTACTGGCTTTCTCTCCATTCTTTGTGCTGGAGGGGAGGGGGACAGTTGTAGAGGAACATATAAGCCTAGGTTTAAACCCAGTTTTAACAATTGTTTTAGCTATTGTCCTTGGACAAACTTCTCAAGATCCCATAACCTAGTACAAGTACTTAATACTTATCATCTTCCTCTTCCAATCCTTCTCCTCCAAACTACAACTGAAATTTATCTTTTATACATGTACTGAACACTTATTGGTTGTCTTTTCTAGCACTTAATGCCTACCACCTTATATGGTGTTTATTTCTGCACATTATATCACTTCTCTGACACCTCATACCTTTTAAGGGCTGATGCTGTGATTTCTTATGCCAAATTCAGTTGAATTTTTTCAGTCTTAGATGAAGGATTTGCTTTGTCTAATCCATATTGTGACATTTAGTTTCTGAGTAACACAAATGGCTGTGATTTTTTTGGACCAAAGTTGTCACTAGAAGGACTAGTTGTAAAGGCCCAGCCAAAGCAGGCTTTGTTAAAACTCCTTTAGCTGCAAATCAAGGAGAGTGATACAGTTGTCTTAAAGTTACATGAAACTCTCATAGGAATTTAAAACTGTAATTTTAATGTCTTTGTATTAATACTATTAAAAAAAGTACTCGTACCTGAGTGAATTGTTTTTTTTCTTTATAGCCCGTTGCTGAACCAATCCCCATCTGTAGTTTCTGTCTTGGTACAAAAGAACAAAACCGAGAAAAGAAGCCAGAGGAACTCATCTCCTGTGCCGACTGTGGCAACAGTGGTATGTACTCTCCTTCTGATGTGTGCTGTCAGGTGGGAGGGAAGTGTATTTAACTGAGATGGTATCCTTGATCCTTATAAAACAATACTTTGATTCTGATTTTAGGTAACTGAGATGATCTTCTAGGTGAGGGAGGGATTTACATGTATAGTTGACATGTTTTATTCAGTTAATTTAAATCAGGTCTTAGTTTTAGATTTTTGTTTTTTATAAAAATCTTTCCATAGACTTATTTTTTCTTCTTGATCTTTATATTTGACTATCAAACATCTGTTCAAATCACAGCAATCAGTTTGAAATTATTGCTAGCTTCTTTAATAATCACTACTTATCTTTCTTGATTTATGCATCAGGCTTTATGAATAGAACCGGGATGATAACACATTTGTTCTTCTTGCTAGAAACTTACATGTGTCACATTGGGAAATGGGATGTTGACACTGCAATTTAGTGAGCTGTGTGAGATCCTGAGCTCTAAAAAGATTTTTCAAAGACTCTCCTAGTTTGTCAATTCTAGAGATATTCTTGGTCTATCTATATTTTCAGAATTTAGAAGTTTTTGTAGGAAGGCCTTAGTAAATCAACATTATCTTTGATCATTGGCCTAATTTTCCGTGTTTTATATCTATAGCAATCATGATTTAGTCAAGAAACCAGAAATCACTCTAGATACTTCAAGAGGAAAGAAATTTCATACCAGAACCAGATATTTGTGAAATTATTAGAAGGGCTGAAGAGGAGAGCTCTAGGCTGGGCTTTAGGGACCGATCTTGGAATATCGCAGAAGTGACCCACCAGGGGAGTCACTATATCTGCCTCCATCTGGAAGAGGTGGAAGCAGGAGGCTCCCGCAGGACTGTAGCTGGATGTTGAGAGGCTGAATTTGGCCATCACCACAGTTCCCTCCGGATGGCCACGAAGGTGAAAAGTGGCTAGGTACCAGCAGTACCAGTCTTTGTTTTCATTTTCTCCTTTCAGAAAATCACTCAAACACATCCAGTTGGTAGTCTTAATTCATATCTAGAGCCAAGCTGCAAAGGAGTCTAGGAAGTATAGGTTTTAGCTTTTTGGGTTTTATTTATAGGCAGTTTTAAAAGAAGGTGGGAAGAGCTCTTGAATCGTAGGTGACCATATTCCAGCATAATAATCACAGCCATAATGAACTCTGGATGGATTTTACAGTTAAATATAAACCATAACATCATAAGATATTAGATAAAAACAAAAGTTTGTGACATATTCTACATGCCTTGATTTCCAAACTATTTTAGTAGGAGAATGCTTAAGAAATTGTGTGGGAGCCTAAATACATAAAACAGATAAAAATCTACTCAGGTGAGGTGGGAATAAAATGGGAGTGGAAGGAGAGTTGCGGTAGAGCCCTGCTTCCTAGGAAACATTATATTAAGGTGGCCTCTGAGTTCTCTGCAATTTGAAAACAGTAGAGGGAATTTTTAAAGAACTAGTAGAACAAATAACTATTGGTTACCTATTGCTGTAGAAGCGATCTACTCTAAAACATAGCAGCTAAAAGCAACAACAGTTTTAATTCATGTTGTTCCTGTTGGTCAGGAATTTGGGAATGGTTTACCTGAGTTATTTTGACTTGAAATCTTTCATGAGGTTGCAATCAAGATTTTAACTGGTACTCAGTTATCTGAAAGCTTCCATTCCATGATGACTCACTTACTTGGCTGGCAAGTTAATGCTGCCTGTTGATAGGGAGCCACAGTTCTTTGCCATGTGGACCTCTTCATAGGGCTGTATGAGTGCCCACAGTTTGGCCGCTGGATTCCCCTCAGCAGGCATCTGAGAGAGAGAGCAAGGAAGAATCTGCAATATCTTTATTACCTAGCCTTAGCCTGTCATTGTAGCACACGAATCAGCCCTATTCCCTGGGGGAGGGAACTACACAAGGTGTCAATTGGTATTCTTGCCAGAAGGCAAGAATGTTTTGAGGGCAGCTTGGAGCCGGAGTATTACAGTAGGCAAGGAAGAAAACTATGAACATAGTTAAGATTTGACATTTGACATTTGATCCTTTCCAAAGGGAGGACTAAAATACCCAAAATTTTAAAAAGCAAGAATTGTTTGGGGAAAATAATTGCATTAAATATGATAAAGGGCCAAAAGCTATGAAGAGTGTGGTTACATTTCTAGTATAAAGTCCAAAGGGCAGAGCCTATGAACAGGTAGTTTATATGAAAGTTAACTGTTGAACATATTAAAAAGAAATTTTACCCAAGTAATTATAGACATGCACACCAGCACAGAAGTGAAGTGTCATTTTATAACTTTTATAATAATAAAATTTGAAAGATAAAAGAGCCCAAACCTAGAACTGATGAAGTTGTGGTAAAACATTTGTAGTTTCCTGGTATATTTCTTTCATTTCACTTACCAGCCCCACTTACAGGGATTTATTTTAAGGAATTCATTAAAAAGAAGGACGGGGCGCCTGGGTGCCTCAATTAGTTAAGCATCCAACTCTTGATTTTGGCTCAGGTCATGATCTTACAGTTCGTGAGATCTGGCTCCATGCTGACAGCTCAGAGCCTGCTTGGCATTCTCTCTCCCTCTGTCTCTGCCCCTCTCTTGCTCGCGTGGGTGTACTCACTCCCTCTCTCTCAAAATTAATATTTAAAAAAAACAAAAGAAGGAAAGAATCTGTAGATCTAAAATAATTCGTTGTAGTGTTCTATTACTGGCAGTAGTTTAAATAGTTAACAATAGGGAAGTGCTCAGGTACGTTATAGGGAATCAATTCAGTTAGTGTAAAGAATATAAATAGAAAGTTTACTTGACTAAAAGGATGAAGAAAAGAAAACAAAACCGTGTATACTCTATAATTAAAACCATGCAAGGACCTTTAAGAAGTCTACAAAGGAGAAGTAGAACAGGGAATGGCTAATCTAAGAAAAGGTAATGAGATTTTTACACTTTCTCTCCCATTTTCCTTTAATGTCAGTAATTTTTTGATAATAAACTTCATATCATCTCATAAAAGAGAAATTTATTTAGGAATAGAAGGGAGAAAAAGTAACCAGCCTTTTTCTCACCAATGAAAAATAAACATAACCAGCTTTTAGAGGAAAGGGACAAATCTTTCCAGAGTGAGGGCAGATTTACTTTTCTAAAAGTTTGAGAATTAGACGGATACTAACTCTTTTGGAAGAGCAAAATTTTTTCTTTTGCTGTTAATTTTGATCACAATAGAAATATTGCTTAGGTATTAGTTTTTAGCTTGAGTACCTTAAATCATAAGGAAGTAACTTACTTTAAATGATGGGATTTAATAGAAATATATTTTTATTTTTTATTTTATTTTATTTTATTTTATTTTCTAGGAGAGAGAGAGAGAGAGAGACAGCGTGAGCAGGGGAGGGTCAGAGAGAGAGGGAGACACAGAATCCGAAGCAGGCTCCAGGCTCTGAGCTGGCAGTCAGCACAGAGCCTGACACGGGGCTTGAACCCACGAACCGCGAGATCATGACCTAAGCGAAAGTTGGACGCTTAACCGACTAAGCCACCCAGGCGCCCCAATAGAAATATATTTTTAGTTATAAAAGTAATATGTTATTGCTAAAAAATTGAGAGAAGAGTATAAAGTGAAAGGTAAAATCCCTCTTCAAAATGTTTATAGTTTCAGGCACCTGGGTGGCTCAGTCGGTTGAGCGTTCAACTTCGGCTCTGGTCATGATTTCACAGTTCATAGGTTTGAGCCCCAAGTTGGGCTCTGCGCTGATTGCGCGGAGCCTGCTTAGGAATCTCTCTCTCTCCCCCCCCAGATTTATAGGTCTCTCTCTCTCAAAATAAATAAATAAAAAACTTTATAAAAAATATTTTTAAAAATGCAAAGTGTTTATAGTTTCATATCTTAAGATATTACAGTTGCAAACAGTTTTTGTGTATCCCTCCAGAAATGGCCCGAGCATGTTATATATTGGCATACATATAAGCATGTGTGCACCCGTGATGCTTTAATGCACTAAAAGTTAGGAGTTTGTCAGGTGTTTTATAATCACACCAGGGAGGTGGTATACTCAATCCTACTCAGCATCGGTACAGCTGAACTGGAATTCAGTCCTGATGAGACACGTGTCGCAAGCTTCCAAGAGCGTCTCTTCTTTGATAAATATTTTGATTTAAGGTAATTGCCTTTTTCTTCATCGTTCCTTTAATACAGTTACAAAATGATTCTTGATTGTTTCATTTGAGAATTTTCCCCTCTTATTAGGTCATCCATCCTGTTTAAAGTTTTCCCCCGAACTAACGGTTAGAGTGAAGGCCTTACGGTGGCAGTGTATTGAGTGTAAAACGTGCAGCTCCTGTCGAGATCAAGGCAAGAATGCAGTGAGTATCTTTGCTTTCTGATGTGAGTATTTCATTTAGAAGTAGAGTGTACAACTAGTATTTTCCTCTAAGTGTTGTTGATTACTTTTCAATCACTTGGTCCAGCAGAATTTGAAACACTGGTCCCATTCAATTACACATCATTAGTTTAGAATACTTGCTATTTGAGACTTGGATTCTTTCTGAGTAGTTTCTAAAACACCTTAATTCTATGTTTGCAGAGGGACTAAGCTACTTTAAAGAAATACTTCTGAAATTTGAGTAGTATGGAGGCATTCATTTAGGAATGCTCAGTTAGTGTATTAACTGCAAATCATCCTTTTATCTTTTAAATTAGAACAAACTAAAGTTAGCTTATATCTGATTACTGGATAAACTTGAAAGTTAGGAAACTAGTTCTTTATTAAAGATTAGATAAAGCAAAACTTTTTGCTAACTCAGTCTGTCCATTTACTCAGTTTAATGCAGACTAAGGAAACTTTTACTATTATAGGAGCTCATCATCTTCGTGATATCATTGAGGCTTCCTAGGTTTTATGAAGTTGTGATCCTGACATGTTTTTGTTTCTAAGGTTAAGTAGAACTGTCCCTTCTCTTTTTTTAGGATAACATGCTCTTTTGTGATTCTTGTGACCGAGGTTTTCACATGGAGTGTTGTGATCCACCACTCACCAGGATGCCAAAAGGTGAGAAATACTTTCTGAAATCAGACTAGCACTGTAATGGGCATGTTAGTAAAAACACTTTTTATCCACTTTGTTAACATGGAAGAATAATTTCCATCTTTCTCTTGGGGTTGTATTAGTAGGAAAAAAGCTGGCACCCTAAAGGTGGGGACAGTCTGTGTAGGCATCCTAACGTTCCTTTGTGTATGGATTCAGTATTATTTTCCTCTATTTTCAATGTTTAAATTATCCATGGAGAGTGAAGTGGTTCATTTATGAACAGTGGCCAGTCCTATAGCTAGAGGACAAAATACTTGCCTTATGTAACTTTGAAGTATCTCTTTCTATACAGGAAGAAATGAAATTGTATTAGATCATGTTAATTATATCAATATTGGTTATTTCACTGTTCGTCACCTTTGAAAGGCCTAGAGCCTTTTTAAAAATATAATAAATTGTAAATAAATAATTTTTGTGCGCTAAATCATAAGAATATAGCTTAAAGCATTCTATTCTTTTGATTCCTATTCCTTGACAAATATTTGGTTGGGATGTAACTGCCTGTTAGTTGAACTTCCATCTTATTATATGCTTATAGTTTTTTGAAAAAAAAAAAATTCACTTATCTCCTCCTTTGCCTTATCACAAATTCCATTTTTAACTCTGATTTTCTGACATAATAGGTTTCTTAAGTAAAATGCTTATAGAGTATTTGGTAATTTCTGCTAGGAAAAAATTTTCCTGTGGATGGAAAGGGACTCAGCCTTAGATGTAGTTAAGTTATTCCACTTAGAATCTTACTTGAGTCTCTTCTTATGTCACTCTGTTGGTTGTTAGCTTCTGAAAAGTCTTAAATTTTTATGTATTGGAAGAATAAATAGCCCCTTTGCTATATGTTCCATTTACTTGGAAGTTTGGGCAAAAGGTCTCCTGAGAATCCTCCAAGAGAAGAAAGACTTTTTAGGACTTCACGTCTGTGTATTTAATGTCTATGAAAGAAGTTTTATAGCAGCTTAAAGCAGGAATCATTTTAGTTTGAAATAATTGCAGACTTACAGTAAAGTTGCAAAAATAGTACAGAGACTTCTTATTGTACTCATTACCCAGTTTCTTCTAATGTTGACGTCTTTTAAAACTGTAGTATAATTACTAAAACCAGGAAACTAACACTGATATGATACAATTAATACAACTATAGACCTTATTTGAATTTATGGTCCAAAATCCAGTCCTGGATTTCATATTGCATTTAATTGTCATGCTTCCTTAATCTTTTCCACTCTGTGTTAATTCCCTAGAGTGTCTCTCCTGACCTTGACACTTTTGAAGAATACTAGTCAGTGATTTTGTAGAAAGTTCTTCAATTTGGGTCTGTCTCTTAATCATCATCAAATTAAGATTATGAAGTTTGAGAAGAACACCACAGAATTGATACTGTGCCTTTCTTAGGGCATTGTAGTACGGGTGTGTAATTCTAATATGTCTTATTACTGCTAATGTTAACTTTGATCACTTGATTACAGAAGAAACCTGACCTTAAAGTTATTCTTCTTCCTCTTTGTACTAACTTCAGCATCCATCAGTGATTCTTGTTTGCACCAGTTTTACTTTGGTGTTTGCATAATGATGATTTTTTTTTTTAGCTTCCATCATCCCTTCTATATTTACTAATTGGAATTCTGTAAAGAAGGGCTATCCCTTTTCCCATTTATTTATTCAATTATTTATATTCCTATGGACTCATGGGTATTTATTTTATTCAGTGGATTATAATCCATTGATGTGATTATG